CCCCACCACCACCTCCCCGGCGCGCGCACCAAACACCACCGCCACCTGCGCGAGGCCCAGCGGGCAGAGCGTCGACATTCGCACTTTCGTCACGGGCGCCACCAGGAGACCCACGGGGCCGAGGATAGCGGTTTCGCCCCGGCCGACGCCCTATAAGGCTCGAGGGTTGCGGCCCAGGTTGCCTGGAGATGGGCCGCATTCCCCGGAGAGTGGGCTTCGCCACGACTATCCAGCTGCTCTGGCCTGGGGTCGTTGACGAATCGGCGGCAACGAAAGCAGCAACTAATCCCTGAGGAAAAGGGGGCGGGGCGGAGGGGAGGAGGCCAGCCAGAGCTGGAGAGATTTGAGTGGTGCGTTGAACGGGCGCAGATTCGTCAGGCGGGCGGGGCGAATGGGTGGACCGGACCTCCGGTCCTTTGCTCCTCTTGCCTGTCCCTTTCTTACACAACTAGAAATGTAAGAGGCTGCAAATTCGCCACAGGTCCTGGACCTAGCCGTTGCTTCCCCTTACCCGCCTTGGTTGGGGTCAAGAAAATAACTCCTGGGTAGCCAAACCCTGTTGGCAGAATCGGCTACTTTTACTGGATAGTTATTACTAGCACAACTCAGGGGACAGCCTCATTCTGACCCAGGGAAATTGACTACAGCTCAAAGCTCTTCTCGGAGTCCGATGAGAATTTTCGGCTAAGCATACGGGCCTGAGCAATTCTGAGGAGCTGGCCTCGCGAATCTGCGAATACGTCTGTGGGTGGAGCCAAGGCGGCGTGCGCAGAGGGGCAGAGGGCGTGGTCAGAGCGTGCGGAGCCCGGCGTCGCGGGGACACTTCCTGTAGAGCCCACCGAAACCCAGGCGGGTTGGGAGGGTTGTCCTGAGGTGGAAAAGTACAACCACAGGCGGTAACTCAGGTCGTTTCCCTGGCGCTCTACATAATGTAGGAAGCGTTTTCCTTTCGTTTTCCCCCTTGGGCCGCTAGCTGTTTAAGATGCCCACCAGACAGATGGGGAAACTGAGGCCTCCAGAAGCTGCCGCATTTTGGTTGTACTCGGCCCACTATTAACGATTGATTAAATCCGAAGCTGTCTTAAAAGTTCTATAATAAACCTGGTAGAGCCTAAAGGCCATTGAATGGGTCTTGTAAAAACCGAACTACGTTTTACAGGAGCTAGGGTGGAGTGGTCTGTTCTCCAGGCATCATGATTCCAGTGCCCGCCCTTTTCAGCCGGGTCAGTAGAGGGGGCTATGCTTACCCAGTCCTGCCACTCGAGGGCAGCACCAGTTCAGGCTTAACACCTGGGACCCTGGGACCAAGGTCGCCCTGTCGCTGGGCATCCTTTATCTTCGTCTTGGTCGCAGGGTATCTTGGTCTCTGGGTAATGGCATTCTCAGGAGGCTCCTCTGCCAGAGCTGAAGATGCCTGTAGGTTTCAGATAACTATTTACAGCTCTTGCTGTATGACCTTGGGCAAGTCATTGACCTCTCAACGTTTCAGATTCTTCCTCTGAAAGGGGTATTAACTCCTGTCACACGGAACTATTGTAGCCATCAAATAACATAGGAAAAGCCCTTGGAGCCTGATTCATGCAAATTCACCATTTTAAGTAATAGGAAAAGAGAAAAGGAAGACTTCAAGATCTCACACCATAAGAATAGAAGAGAGAGGACTGGGACCCTTTAAATGGATGATGAGATCATATTCCTTTCTCTTGTCCCAGTTTAAAGGTACTGGCTTCTTAAGTCAAACAGATTTCCTATGTGATGGTAAAGGTAGTTGTTTTCACTGAGTAGTTGTGTGGCTCTGGGCAAGATCCTCAGCCTTCCTGGGCCTCAGCTTTCTTGCCTCTGAAAGGGAATGAGAAAGACTTGTCTCTTGAGGTGGCTGTGAGGATTAAATGAGATAACCTATGAAAAGCCTATTAGTATGTAGTAGTCACTCAAAAAAAGAAAAAAAGTAAAACATGCTAAATCGTTAATGAAAGAGATAGAGACCCTGAGCTCAGGAACAACAGTGCAAAAGCCTTTTTTTGCCTTGTTGTAACATTCTACATTCAGAAGCTACTGGCCCCTGTTAGCACCAGAAAGAGGTCAATACCTGGAACCCACTCTCCCACACCCCTGCCCCACCCCCAGGTACACATGCCTCTACTCAGCTCTTAGGAACAAGTCACCTGATCCCAAGGAGGCCTCCCTTTTACCCTATTCACAGCCACAGGGACATCTGTGAAAGAATTTATTATACAAAACAAGGTGCATCAAAAATTCAGTGTCGGAATAACTCTGTATTTCAAGGGCTAGGACAGGACCTTTTAAAACCTCACCCCAACACTGGCCAGGCAGTTGGGCTGGGCGCACAGGCCCTAAGTCTCTAAAGACCCCCAACCCGGCAGAGAAGAATGAGAACCAGATATAGAAGCATTAAGTGTGGGTCTAGAGAAGTTGGACAGGCACTTGAACCTCCAAAAATAGGGAGGCTCCTCCTAGGAAAGACTAGACCTATGCTGGGGGAAGAAACACGCAAATCCTTCTCTATAGCAACTAAGAGTATGGAACCCTTCAAAATCAGGATGAGGAAAAAGCTTCCCAACAAATGCCAACCATAAAATAGATTCTACAAAAATAAAGCAAGAGTTGGCTGCCTTTTGGGGCAGTTGGATGGGTATGTAACCTGACCTCAACATCCTATATAGGTGCAAGTGGCTAAGGATCAGCACCAAAGGTCTGACCGGGGTCTCTCTGCCTCCCCTCCACCTACCACATGAGCCTTAGACTGAGGACCTTCCATTTTCTCCCTTGCTCCTCCAAGCCCTGGTATACAGAATTTACAAAACCCATGGGACAGGCTGACAGGGAGAATCTCTTGGAATTCCTGCCCCAAGGCCCAGCCCAAAAGACCCTGAGGGCAGGAATCTGGTCTCTACCTGAGAGTAGCCACAGGAAATGGCTCTAGGCAGGGTCAGGGAAGTGGTCTGGAGACCTGGGGTCTGTGGCTGACCCCTGAGGGAGGCAGTGCTTTTCCGCGGTGGCTAACACAAGTCTCACACAGCCTGCAGCTCCCCCTGCAGGCGACTCAGCTCCTCTAGCTCCTGCTTGTGGCGGTCTGTCTTGTGTGCCACCAAGGAGCGGTAGAAATGCAGAGCAAAGGCCACGAACACAAGTCCCACGGGTACCATAATTGCTGTGGAGGCCATGGCTGCTTGCCAGCCTGGTCCATGGGCCCCACCACCACCACATGCTTGCCAGGATGAGCAGGCCTCAGGTGGCTCAGCCTGTGGAGGGGCTACAGAAGAAGAGGGTGGCTTAGAAGCTGGACTAAGGGAGGTAGCCACTGGTGACAGAGTCCCAGGCACCTGGGAGGCAGGGACCATGGGGGCTGGCGTGCCTAAAGGGGCTCCAATGGGCACAAACTTGACCCAGCCAACCAGAACAACTTCAGCAAGAAAGAGGAAGGTGCCCAAGGCAGTGGAGAAGCCCCAGGCCAGCTCCACATAGCGGTGGAGTCGCTGGTGTGGAGACTGGTGGACAGAGTTGAGGTTGTGGATGTTGCTAACGGCTTCAATGTGGGGCAGAAGACACGTGGAGACCATGAGTGCAAAGAGGTGTACAGCCACTAGTATGGTGGTACAGGCACTAAAAGCCACCAGCAGGCCTGGCGGGTATTCGTGGTTGCTCTCCAGTTGTACCTCCACCATGGCCACCTGTGGGGACAAGAGAGGATGGATTGAGTGTTCATAACCTCAACAGTAGCAGGCAGGGTTTTTGCCTGTTGGCAAACATCACTGATGTATCCTTAGGACCTGGAACAGTGCCTGGCAGAAAAAAAGTCTCCCAGTCTTTCTTGAATGCATGGATGTCCTGGGCCTTGGTTTCCTCACCTACCTATCAAGAGGGCTGGATGACATGTTTCTGACCATCTTACCTTATTATAACATAGGGGTTAAAAAGCACAGATTCTGGCCGTTCGTTCTCAAGTCTACAAGCATGATAGTCTTGAGCAAGTGACTTAGTTCTCTCTGTGCCTCAATTTCCTCATTTGGAAAATGAGGTTTTCATAATAGCATCTATCTCCCTTATAGGGTTGTTGTGGAAATTGAATGAGATAATACATCAAGTGATAAGAAAAGTGCAAGGCACTAGTAAGAACTAGGTGTCTGCTGTTATTATTAGAGTTACTGAAGTCCAAGACCAGAGTTTGCATATTGGCATACTATGAACCCAAGCCAGCTTGCAGACATGTTTTGCCTGGCTGTTCATACAGTGTGTTTCTTAAGTTGCCACCCGCTTCTATATCTGGAATCTTTCTATATCTGTATCTTTCCCTTCTAATAAAGCTTTTCTTGTAAAAAAAAAAAAAAATTTAAGTAGAATTAAGTTGCCAACTTTGAAAACTCAAGAGATTTCATATAAATATCCCTATTTCCAGATCATTTTGAAATTTTGAAAGATCTAGTTACACCAGGCCCACATTCCTGCATAGCAACTATCAGCTAGAGTGGAGTCATGACTGCTTCCTTTGAACAGGTCATGGGGTCTCTTTATAACTACAGTCCCCACAGAGCCAACTTGGCAACCATATTATTTGCCTGGCCTTTGCCAACATTGAGTTGATGATCCTATTCTAGACTTGTATATATTTGGACTCTAGAACCAGACTGCCTAAGTTAAAATCCTGCCAGTTATTTGTGTGGGACCCTGGGCAGGTGTCTAAACACCTCTGATCCTCGGTTTTCTCATCTGTAAAATGGACATAGTTGTGGTGCCTACTTCATAATAGAAAGATGATGTACATAAAAGCCCTAAGCACAGTGCGTGGTACTTGGTGACGGTTCAATACAATTTGTGTTATTCTAACACAGGCCACCTGGATTCCAGAATGTGGATCTTTCCCCATGCCTTGTTCTTGCAGAATCCATTAGATTGCTTTGGGGCTGAGGGAAGGAAGAATGTGCAGAGCATGGAGAGCGGTGGAAGACAGGATGAGTATTTTGGGAAACTGGGCCAGGCCTAGTCCTGGTTTCTCCCATCTCCTGACCCGGCCTTGCTCTTCTCTGGCAGGACTAGAGCCAGTCCTGCCCCTAGAACCTACCCATCTGGCCTCTTGATCCTGTAGAGAAGATTCTGGCCCTTAAGCTGTCACCCAAGCAACATGCAAGTCCAGCAACAGGTCAGATTGGCCCCTTGGGAAGAGGATGGACCATGGGGCTTGGGGTAGGGGACTTCCCTCAGCTAGGTCCATGGGACTGCTTTCTTCCCTCTGCAGTCTGTACAGGTGAATGGAAGCCAACCCCCTGTCCCTAGCTGACTTCACATCAGGAAGGGTGGGCTGGCCTGTGGATTTTAGGCCCCCACATAGAAAACCACAGATTTAGGATGACTATTAGGGATACTTTCCCTCATTTCAAATACAGAGGCTGTGGCATGGAGAGGGGCAGAGACTAACCTAAATCACCCAGTGCTGTGACTCTTTTATCCCCATCTCAATTTGACTCCAACAAGAGCACAGTTCTATTAATGCAGGAAGGAGGCAAAAGAATTAAAAATGTTAATCAAGCTACATTCAGAGACTGCAATATGCTGATCAGCCCTGCAGCCAGGCCAGGAGGGCACCTTCAGAACACAGAAAGATTATTAACAACCCATTCTCCACATCTCAGAAGGAGAAACAGGCAAGAGTCATTCCCTATGGCTAAAACCATGGGGAACCTAAGGATTAAAACCTGGGGAACTCCCAGCAGGCCTTTCACTCTACATATTCACGTATATACTCTTCCCCTTCCTCACTGTTTGTCCATATCAGGAAATGGGAACTAAAGAATGACATATCAATTGAATAGCCTGAACACTCAGGGTCCCTCTCAGTGCCTTTTCTGTCTCTCTCACTGTCCCACTCTCTGCCTCTGAGAGGAGACCATACTCTGTCTGTGGGGCATTATCTTTTTTCTAATAAACTTTCCTTTTGACTCCAACTTTGGTGTGTGTGTGTTGAATTCTTTCCACACTCTCCACCAAAGGACCCTCTTCTCTTGGTGCGGGGCTTGGTCTCCCCCGCACTTGGAGAAATTTGTCCTGTCCTATATCACTATGAGGACTTCTCTTCCACCGGCCACTTTCTCTTTCTTCTGTCATGATTGTGGGGAAACCCTGGACTAACAGTACAGTGACGTTGAGTCCTAGTTTATTCTATATCCTTCATCTGCCGCATACTCTTGGCAGAGCCACTGTCCCATTCTGGGCCTTGATTTTCATACCTGTCCAATTAACAGGTAGTCTGAACCGTGTTTAGTGTGTGTCTTGCTCTAACATGCTTGAATCTATGGTTTGATAACAAGAATCAGCTCATTCTGGGCCAGGTATTTGGCAGGCTACAGAGGGTATACCCTCCATGATCTCACAATTTCCCATGGACCAAAGAAAGTGGTGGAGGCCTGTCTAGGGTCACACAGCTGGCCCCAAGGAAGAAAGAACCAGGACTTGTGTCTGCTGACTCCTTACTCTGGGACCTCCCTCAGTCCAACTTCCTATGAGGCTTTCTCTGGGCCAACGTTAGCTGATAACATCTTCCTTTCCTCACAGGCATCTTCTCAAAGCTTTCCTGAATTACATGAAGCATCTTTTGTACTTGCTAGGGACTACCTGCCCTCCTTAGGATGGGCCCACCTTCATTTGGGTGACTCCAGTTTATTCTGACATGCCCCAACCCCAGCCCTGTTTATACAGCCCCCACCCAGCTCAATTTGCCTTTGAACCATGGGGATCTAGTAATCACTCCTCCTTGGATTATGCTTTTGAGCTTCTTTGCCCCATCCTTGCTATGTAACCCCCGATTTTTCTACCCCCAGGACATAGGTCCCCTTTAATACCTTTGGCATTTGTTTATCCTCCCTGTAGCCCAGTTTATGCCAAGGGTCTGTTTACACACACAACCATTAAAAAGGGACTTGTGCCCTCCCTTGGGACCTTGTTTGTTACCCCTTTTACCTCTTAAATCCCAACTTTCCCTTTCCTTTGCCTGCCTCCCATCGGCACTCATTTGCCCACGGCCCCATGCCCCCAAGTGCCACACCCCACGCCCAGTGCGCCCCTTCCCTCCCCTCACCATGGCGAAGCCCGAGAGCAGGGCAGACGTGCGGCTGGAGGCTTTGAGCTTGGCCCGGCTGAGATAGAGGCGGCGCCAGCTGAGCGCCCGCAGCGAGTGCTGACTGGCCCCCATAAGGTCCAAGTAACCGCGATGCACGAATTCTCGGTATGTGGCGGAGCCTGCAGGGCTCTCGGCCTCTGGGTTGAGCGGGGCCTGTTCACCCACGTCCCCCTCGCCGCCCTTCATCCTGGGGGCTGCAGCACCAGACAGATTGGGAGGTCACCGTGGTGCTAAGTGGCCTCGGGGTCTCCAGGAGGGCCAGCCCGGGCCAGGGGGAGACCCCATCCCCCGACAGAACCGACCAAGATGCGGAGATGCGAGCAGCGGGCGCCCAGGAACAGGCGGCCCAGGCGGAGCAGGAAGAGACGTCTGTAGGGAGCCCTAGGGGCCGAAGTGGGACAGCAGAGGCCTAAACAGGAACTGGGGCGGAGGCGGAGTCGGGGCAGCCACATGATGGGGTGGAGCTGGGGGGCCGCAGGCAGAAATCCTGAAGGACCCCACGACCCCAGTGCACCCAAAATGTCATCCAGGAGTCCCAGCCAGGAACTGGGAGTTCCTGGGCCTTGGATCACTCCAAGTGCACCTGGACACACTCAGCTCCAACCCCATAAATTGTGAACTTGCGGAAGGTGAGCCCATTCGTCTGTGGGGACCGCAGGGCGCCCTGCATACTCAGTTCCGGAAAGCCCAAGGAGGTCCAAGGCTCTCTGATCCATCCAAACAGCTCCTCCCTCAGAGAGTCCCAAAGGGTGAGCACTGCGATCATCCGCACCCCATCCCCGCCCACAGACGCCGCACACACACACAGGAACTCAGCGGCCCCGGATGTAAGATTTTGAGTTTTATAGCAAACCGTATTGTAGATTTGGGGCCCAGCCCGGCTGGGTCCCCCACTTGTCCCCAGCCAGGCTGCCTCCTCCCCCTCCCCCAAGCGGCCCCATCCTCAAGCCTTTCGTGATCCCCAGGACCCCCTCCCCTCGGCCTTTGGTCCTCCCAG